TTATTTAAAAATTAAAATTTATAAATTGTTAAACATTTTTAGTTAGAGAATGTAAATTTAAATATTTATTTTTCATTAAAATTAGATTTTTTTTACTTAATTGACTTGTTATGTTAATTTTTATATATTTACGTTAAGATTTTAAATTTAATTATTGTATTTTTATTAATTTTTATGTCAATTTTTATTACTTTACATGAAAGATTTTTAATCATAACTTTTTAAAACTTTACATCGAAGTTTTTTAATGATAATTTTAAATTACATGTATTTTTATTTTTATTATTATACTTTTTTAAGTTTGATTTTTTGGTCCATTATAGTAATAATCTTAATTATAATATAAAATTTTAGTCATTAAATAAAAGCAATGGAAACAAATAGTTTCGATTAAGAAGGTATCGGTTGAATTTGTTTACTAATTTTTTTATAAATTTTAAATCAATGGTTGCAATTTAATTTTATAGATTAGATGATCTTTATTAATTGATTTTACGGTAAAGTCAAATGGTAACCTCATTGCAGAATTTGTCCAAGATGACCCTTGATACAATTAAAACTCCGAATAATATGACCCTTGATCCCCATGAATATGGGCTGCCTGCCTTAGGCTCTGTTAGAGGGACTGCCACTGCCCGCTTCCTGCCCACTTGAACTGAACCAAGAGAAACATGCGGCAGTGGCACAAAGGATAAACCTGCCACTTAGCAGATGCTAGTTCTGTACTCTGCTTAAATCATGCTTGTTGGTAGATTGGCTTTGTCCCCTCCTCCTTAACTTCCAAGTCCCAAGTTTTGTTTATTTTAAGCATGCCACTTCGATAGAGAGCAGTGAAGTTCTCCAGCCAGGCCAATCTTCTTTGGTCTTGTAATTTTTTGCTCCAAATCACCATCTCTAGTTTCACTTATTATTGCGAACTCTTTGGAACTTGGGCTCGTTCCCCCATTGGATTTGCTCTTCAGTATCTTATGTTAAAACCGTGCCGAATTGGTATCATCTGGAACTCTGGAACTGCTTCTGCAGTTCTCCTGATCATTGCATTATATTAGAAGATGCTTCAGTTTGTAGGGCCCCGAGTCAGTAATGGCTTAAGGAAAAATGATACAGACAAAAGCTCCAGCAGGGCCGGTTTTTTGTCTTTTCACATTGGGTCAGCATTAATCTATCTAATTCATAGAAACTTTTTTCTGTATGGGATTATGGTACACCTGGTTACGGATCTTGTCACTTTGGACTCTTCTTGCGACTTGGAATGATCTGTGGTTCTCAGCTTGATCATTATTGTTGGTAGTATTTCGATATCGGAAGAGCTCCAACATGTCATGTTCATGAGTGGGGCAAGAACCAGTATACATCCAATCCATGATTCATACGAAACTTTGTCAACAAGAATGAAATATGGTTTAAAATGGATTTGAGGTCAGATGAGACTGGATACTGCTTCCAGCTAAGCTCTGTGTGAGGTCGAGAATCTTCTAAACCCTGTATTTTTCCATGTAAAAGGAGAGATGACAAACTAGGCAATAATAACTTGAGGATCTTAAGAGCATGCGTTTTACAAGACCATATCTCAATTTACTTTCATTCTTTTTCCAGTTTTATCGGTATTGAGATATGTATTCTATCCACATGTGGCCATTACTCAAATTATTTGTGTACGACTCATTATCTTTTCACTAAAAGATTAATTTATTAGAATGTGAAAAACTCATTCTTGTAAATTTTCAAAATTTTTTTAATTATCTGATTTGAGTTTTAAACATTTTTGTTTGTTTTTTTTAAAGTGTTTGACTTGAACATTTTCACCTAATTGTCGACGTTCATTTTTTTAAAATTGGATTCATTTTAATGTTACGTTCTCATTACATCATTATCTTTTTTTTTTAAAAAAAAAAAAAGTTAACCTAATTTGGAGTGGTTCATAACTTTTTAAAATTTTTGTATTTATCCCGATTTGGATTTAAAATATCTTATCTACTACTTCTAAATAGCTTGGTGTGACATTGGAGTCTTTAGATCTGATTCATGTATAGTTCTGTTTGAAATTAGGGTAATTTTCAGGAGGTTAAAAAAAGGGGTGTTTAAGAATAGTTTGCAACAGCTCTGAATAGTGTCATGTTTCGAATCCTCAGCATCCAGTTTATGTCACTTTCGTTTATAGCTGTCTCAAAACGAGCCTAGAGCTGTTCAAACTTCCAACAAGCTAAGAATACTTGGCTTAGATTATGCCGCCTCTCACCTTAAGTAAGGGATCAAGATCAGACAAAGAATGTTTCAATCATTTTTTCCCCAAAAATGCTAGACCTTTTTTTCCATTTGGTGTCGTAATTTCAATGACCCTAATCCTCTCTTCATTGACTTTTTGAAGATTGCTGCTATCAGAACTCTGCCTTAACCCCAATCAACCCTTTGGCTAATTCACATTGCCTCCCACATTCTTTATGGTCCTCCAAAGATTCCCCTTGCCTTTTGATGATCCACCAGTTGCTTCCGCAAAAATTTAACTGAAACATGACTGACAAGTAAAAGACGTTGTCCGCTAATACTTATTTATTACTATTTTTTTTATTTTATAATGAGTTCAGAAGAAACTTTAGGTGAAACGATTACAAAAAAAAATAGTAGTATTTTAAAGTTGTCCATATCCAGGCTGCGCAGTGGGGGCAATGCAGAAAAAGGGTTGGCAGAGCAGAAGTATCCAAAGGAAGAGCCATCAACCGACAACCAAGACAAAAAGCTAGCCCCCAAAACAATGATTTTTCAAGGGTTAATAAAGATCTCTTCCCTCTCTCTAGCCATTACCAATTTCTCTGCTTCATGACTCCCCCAATGAATTTGATTCTGCCCTATGTGCCCCCGAAGGAGAAAAATCCCTCATTTTCTATGCTCAAAAACCATAGTCCACACTCTGATCATAAAGGGGTGCACATTGGTTTGTCTGTTTCCATTAAATGGCATTGAATGCTCACAGTTGAGAAAGATCAATGACGAGCTCTAATTTCCATTCCTATTGCAGATATAGCACTTGAAAAATAGCAGCAGAAAATAATGGGTTTCTTCTCCAGAGAATGAACCACACATGCCACTAGCTGATTCAGCATGTCTAACTTGACAGACGGGAAGTTGAACGTAAATAGCAAGTTGGGTATAATGCCTTTTTGGGAAAATCTCAATTCAATTATTCCATTCAATGCATATAAAAATATCTTAATTAACTGAATTTTATTTTAACATTAATGACATGCTTGGTCCTAGTCTCCTAGATGTACCTATGGTTCATTTTTGAACAGGAGTAACATGGGAATTGTCCTTTGTTTTGTGAACTTCAGTCCTCTTCAGAACTCGAGTAGATTTTCCAGGAACTCAAACTAGTATACAAAAATGAACGATTACCCTGGAAAACTGTAGACTCTTTTGAAGTTGGAACCAGGATTTCTACACAATATACACAGATTGAGCACAGTTTCGTTGGTGGAAATCAAAGCTGTGACATGTCATTGAAGAGTTGGTCCGATTGGCAAAAACCTGGACCCAAATCACAGCATGACTGACGCTCGAAAATGGTGTTTTTTTTTTCCTTAGTTTCTCTCTCTCTGTCTCTCTCTCTCTCTCTGTCTTTCTGTTGTGCTGTGTTATGTTCTGTCAAGTGATTGACGCCAGGCTAGCATCTTCGCCATGATTGAACATGGGTCCCACTTCTCCCCTCTCTGCCCTGTCAACCCACATGCGGTCTCAATGCCCCAAGCACCCTCTTCCCTTATTTTATTCCCTTCCTATCCCTATCCCTCACCCTTTCTTCCACCCTCTTTCCATCCTACCTCTTACGTGTCAAATTGGGTCTTCATCTCCCAACATACTGACAAAATCCATCTCTCAACTTAACTCCTGTCTGAAAGCAAATCTCAAATATACCAATCCATGTCACTTTATCACTTCCCACCACAGTTATGTTTATCTCACTAATCAATTCTTATCGAATGTGAGAAAACACAGCTGCTCTTTTCTTATTTACTCTTTTTTTTCATTCTTTTCTGTAAGACTCTGATTACTGTACGGTTCACTGGAGTGGGGGAGGGCCGTTTCAAACAAATTTGTCGGCGAGAGACGTTATTAATCATATTTACTTAAGGGTGTAATTACTGATTAGTGCCATTTTAATGCTAATTTATTCCAATTATTCTATTTGCACTGCTCATGTTTATGTGCATGAAAAGCTGTCACATTTTACTTAACCGTGTAAAAGTATTATTTTGTGTCCAAATAATTAAAAAAAACCAAAATTTGTGTCTTTTATATATAATTAATGCTCATAATTCACATACATACAGAAAGCTGCCCTATTTTTGTGGTGGTTCTTTTCTTCTTCTTCTTCTACCTCCTTCCTTTTTTTTTTCATATCTTTTTTCTTTCGTTTTTGCAGTCTGTTACTTTGTTAAGTGTTTCAGCATATCAGCTTTTCTTCTTCACTACTTTGTCTTTCTGGTCACTGTTGCTGAGGCCTTTGACATATGAAGATGCCAGTAAGTACGTTTCTTTTAACTGGGGATTTGATTTTCTCTTTTGCTTTCTGTTCTCTTTCTTTTGGATTGCCAAATCAAAAAGAATTGAGGCTTTGATGATTTTCTGGACTTATTGAAAGTGTTTTTGAAGAATAGGAACTAAATACTTTTCTGGGATTTTTCTGTGAACTGGATTTTCTCATCATCAATGGTGGCAATTCAACTTATATATATATATATACATATATATATTTCTTCTGAATTTTTCCGTACTCACTTTGTTTTGAGTGATATTGATGCCTCCATTTTCCCTCTTGTTGTTTGATATTCTGTCTGTTGGGTTTGTGGGATTTTAGTTCATTTACTGCCCCCTTTCTGAGCAGACTTTTGGTTTCATTGGATTCTAGAACTCTCAGCTTTTCCATCTTCCTTGCTTTTGGAGTTATAAGATCATTCTTTTACATTGACATTTAAGATGGCTTATTAGTTTTTGCAATTGATGGTTGCCTTAATGCTTGCGTTCTTGGTAATTCCTCTATTTTAGTCAAATAATAAAATTCGGTCATTTGCTTCCTTAATTAACTTGATTTGTTTGGATTCTTTCTTAATTTATTTGCTACAATCACTCATCATTTGAATAATGATGATTCATTGTATTTGTATAATATGTCCAAAGTTTATGTCTTTTCTTTGTTTAGAAATGCCGGCTAGTAGTTTCCCCTTTTTGGCATTACTGCATCACAAGGTACAGCTATTTGTGCTGCTAGCATTTGTATTCTTTTTGAGATGTTTGTACAATAGTTCTTTGATACTCAATTCTACTTATCAGACTGATATGTTCTCAAGCTTTGAGCTAACAGGGGTTTGATTCTCTTTGTGCTTGTCTTGTATCCTTGATGTGAAATTCTTGATGTTTGTTTATTGTTTTATATTTCTCTTTGTCTTCTAAAAATAATCTGTCGTCATTGGGGATTGGCAAAGGTACAATTTTTTTTTTCTCCGGAGTATCAACTGGTTGCCTTTTCGTTTTCCATTGTGTCGCAGGTGGCATTGCTCTTGCTACTGGCATTGTGCAATGCAATCAAAGTTAATGGGGAAGAGAGCAATGGGCAGTGTAATCATAAGCTGATGTTGGACCCAAGACCACATAGTGTATCCATCTTGGAATTTGGTGCTGTCGGAGATGGCAAAACTTTGAATACCATTGCCTTTCAAAATGCCATTTTCTATCTTAAGTCCTTTGCTGACAAGGGTGGCGCCCAGCTTTATGTGCCACCAGGAAGATGGCTTACCGGAAGTTTCAATCTTACCAGCCATCTCACTCTATTCTTGGAAAAAGGTGCTGTCATTCTTGGATCTCAGGTATTTTATTTTTTGGCTCTGTCTTATGTTTTGCCCAATTTCCCAATTTCTTTTTGTTTTTCTCTTGTTTTGAGGTATGCATTGTTCGATAGAAATGATAGACATTATTAGGAGCCATTTTTTAGCCTTTGATTTCCTTTCACATTTGCTTTTCTTGCTTGTCAAGGATCCATCTCACTGGGATATTGTTGAACCCTTGCCCTCATATGGTCGAGGAATTGAACTTCCTGGAGGAAGATATCGAAGTTTGGTAAATGGGTATATGTTACGTGATGTGGTAATAACTGGTAAGATTACCTTCATTTTTGCTCATTCTTTCACTGTCTCTTCATTACAATCTTGGTTGAGTCTCAGATAAACTCACACTTGCGTGTTGCTCTAGGTGATAATGGAACCATAGATGGGCAGGGCTCAGTTTGGTGGGAATGGTTCACATCTCATTCTTTAAACTATAGCCGCCCTCACCTTGTGGAATTTGTGTCATCTGAGGATATACTTGTTTCAAACATTACGTTTCTCAATGCCCCTGCATATAATATACATCCAGTCTATTGCAGGTTTGTTTTCAATACCTTCTGATTGCTATGCTCATTCTTTGAACTTCTGTTTGATCTGTCTACAAATAGAGGAAGTCAAACTCATATGTACTTGGATTTTATGCAGCAATGTACACATTCATAACATATCAGTCTATGCTCCTCCTGCATCGCCGTATACTGTTGGCATTGTTCCAGGTTTGTGATGGCTAATATCTGATTCTGTTCGTATTGAGACCCTAAGTTGTTTATTTAACATCTTTGATTATGGTCTAGATGCCTTTACGGCCATGCTTACAAATTAGAATACCTGCTTTTGCTTTTCAATTTTGTTCTGTGCTTTTATAGATATTTATCTTAAGAAAAAGATTTAACTCCCTTTTGTAAGTGGTTTACTGGGAGATTGCTACTAGTGGTTAAATCTTTCTTTATCAGATTATCTTACTTGAAAAATGGTAACTATTGGGGTTGGTTAGTTTCATTTTTCAGTCAAACATATCATAAAAAGTTAATAAGGAACAAATTGTAAGTTTAACTGTTACTAGCAGCTAGTGAGTGGCTGTATTCGTACAACAGAAATTTGGGTCTTGTAAATTTGCTAATATTTTATAAAAAATATAGACTTTTGAAGCATTCACTCCAGCATTTGCATTCAACTTTCTAGGTGGAGCTGGATTATATCTCCAATTTTCCAAACGTCATCACCTCTTTTAAACAGAATTCTGTTTTATAGTTCCAGTGTTAGGTGCAATCTTTTTATTTCATTGTGTTTAAAGATGGTTATGATGGATCAAATTCATGAATCATTCTTCACATTCTGCTTTCAGATTCTTCTGATAATGTTTGCATTGAGGACTGCAGCATTAGTATGGGCCATGATGCAATTGCCCTCAAGAGTGGCTGGGATGAGTATGGCATTACTTATGGCAGACCTACCACAAATGTCCACATCAGAAGGGTCGACCTTCAGTCGTCCTCAGGCTCTTCTCTTGCCTTCGGTAGTGAAATGTCTGGTGGCATTTCTGACATCCAAGTGGAGCAGGCCCACCTGTACAACTCATTAAGTGCTATTGAGTTTAGAACAACCAGGGGTAGGGGTGGTTATATTGAGGATATCATTATATCAGATCTTGACTTGTTAAATGTTCATATGGCTTTTGGTGCTATTGGTCACTATGGATCCCATCCAGACGACAAATATGATCCTGATGCTTTCCCAGTACTGCAGAAAATCACCTTGAAGAACATTATTGGCGCAAACATCACTGTTGCGGGAAACTTCACAGGAATCGAAGAATCTCCCTTTACTTCTATATGCCTATCCAATATCTCCATATCAATCAATTCTGCCTCTTCCACCTCTTGGGTGTGTTCATATGTTTCCGGCTTTTCAGAGTCAGTCTTCCCCAAACCATGTCCCGACCTGGAGAATTCAAATACTTCTTCATCATGCATTTCCCTCCTGCAGCCTAATGGTAGATCCGCGGTCTTATGATACCATTCCCTTCCTTCTAGAAAAACATAGAAATTCCCGGAAAGATTTCTACCATTTACCGTCTCAAGAGTAGGTCATCAGATTCTTTCCAATAAGACACATGTCTAGGATACCTGTTTCTTCATCCCTTCCCCATTCCGTATTTTGGCATGTTCACAACCTGCAGATTGTTTGTACAGCTTCATTTCTTCATTCTTGTGTAAGGAAATTTTTGGTAGTGGTGGGTACAAAAGCTCAAAAAAGGGTCCTTGGGGGGTTTTTTTAGTATTGCTGTCTATTGAATTCTTTTCTTCTTTTCCTTAATGTTTATAGCTATGGTCCAAGGTTCAATCTCATTGTAAAATCATTTTATATCATTTTGGGATTGAATTGCTGAATGAAAATGGTAGATAAAGAGATATTCAATGGGATAATTTTGATTGAATAAAGTCTTTATTAGTCTTTGATTTGGAAAGTTTTCCTTTACTTTTGCCATTGATTTTGCTAGTGAAGAGAGGAGAAATATGCAAGTTCCAATTGCATAGGATGCCTTTGCTTAGACCAGACAAAAGACAAATACCTGTCTTGTCTGTAACATACCTTTGGCCTAAAGTTTGATCTTAGAAGTAAGACATGTGCATCACAAAAAAAATAAATCTTTTTTTGTCTTATTCTCAATTCATTTAAGTTTAACTTTGATAATTTTCTACTGTCCTAATCAAGGAAAATATTAAAAAAAAAAAAACTCACCAAGAACGAACATTTCTTAATAACCTTTATATGATATAAATTTAATTTAAGAATTATTTTGACAATGAATTAATCCTTACTCATAAGAGTTTAATTAAATGTAATAAAAAAATAAAGTTTTACTGAAATTTTCAAAATAGTTCAGGAATTTTTTTATATATTATGTTTTTTTTAATAATTTTATTGTATTAAATTAATTGAAAAATTATAAAAAAAAATAGTGGAGAATTTGGGTTATTTTTGGGTTACAAAAAATTGGGCCAAACCTAATTTGCTTCTAAAAGGGCTATTGACCCAATCCAAAACAGCCCATCCTTAAAACAAAACTCAAAAATCGCCCTAAGCCGAGACCGCCACCTTTCTCTCTCTACCGGCAGCTCCCGTTCCTAACGACGCTCTTCCTCTTAACATTTGGCCGTTTCTGGTGCCTTAGCTGCCATCTCTTGTCGGGTAAGTCTCATTTTTTCTTTTCTTCTTGGAAAAATGGTAGTTTAAACCTAACATAACAATACAGAGCTCTTTGTTATTAGCAGTTAAAGCCTTTTTTGAACAACTGAAGTTTCTGCGTTTCTTCTGAGCTATTTGTTCTTTTTTCTACCCTTTTTGAAGCTTCTCATATACTTCAAATATGAGAAACTTTTGTTTGAAACTGAGCTTGAAAAAGCACCACTTTTGTGTTATGTTTGGGGCTGGGCGGGGGAGTGGAGCGGGGTACGATGGTTTAGCTATAGGGAAAATAATCTGAATTTTAATCCATGAATTGGTTTTTTCAGTTAATTTCTTATCTGGGTTTTCTTTATCTTTCTCTTTGGTTATGTCTTGAGCTAAAGCTTTGCGATTCTGGGCTTTCTCGCTTTTGTGGTTGGAATTCAGAAGCTTGTATTTTTGCTTATGCTAATGTAGTTTATCTTCTGCTATTTTAGGTTATGGGATCGTCGAATATTAGAGATATCTTGACAGAATTTAGTCCTTCTTTGGACTACTTTGCTATTAGTTCCGGAGATGGTCGAATTAAGGTAGCTAAAATCACTCCCAGTTTGCAATTGCTTAATGACAATTTCAAGAACAAGCGGTTGCATTTTATGGTTCTATGTGAATAATTTTGACTTTTATTTTTTTGACTTTATAGATTTGGGACACTTTGAAGGGTCAAGTTCAAACTGAATTTGCAGACTTTGTATCAAGTGAGGTAACAAACATATATGCTAAGGCAGAAAGAGGGCATCTTTCGATTGATTACAAATGTATGAAGTGGTTGTCTTTTGACAAAAAGGTTTGCCCCTTACACATTTTAATAAAACATTTTTGTAGAATTTAATTGACTGGAATTTTCTATGAAGAAGTTTTTGGACCAAAAATGTTAATTATTGCAGAAGAAAAGGAAGCTTGCAAGTTCTTTGCTAATCTTGGGAACGGGAAGTGGTGATCTCTTAGCACTTGATGTGTCTGCTGGTCAGTTGAAGTGGAGAGTTAGTGATTGCCATCCTGGGTGCGTTCATGTTGATAAATTCAATTTTAATCCCCTAAATTTCCTTTGAATCCCAAAGAAAATACATAGGTCTTGCCTTTTATTTTAGATAATGCAATTATATGGAGATGACAAAACTGTTCTTGATGGAAATCTGTGACAAAATAAAGTCTCTGCGAATAATAGTTGAATTTCTTTGATTGCTGTATGCAAATATAAAACAGTTCTGAATTGTCACCTCTGTTGATGAGATCCCATGAAAAATTGTGGATTTTTAATTGCTCAGTTTTTAGATAGACATTTTGCACTCTGAAGAACTAATGAAGATACTGAATATATTTTAATGAGCTCATGATGATTTGGATGGATGTATTTACCATTACGTCTGGATCTGAATTGCTTAGTTTTGTTGTCTCTTCTCATTTTCCCTCATAATAATTTACAGGGGTGTCAGTGCCATTGCATTTTCTACAAATGGCTCTTGCATTTACAGTGCTGGTGCTGATGGGATGGTTTGTAAAATCGATTCACTGACTGGAAACTTATTGGGGAAGTTCAGAGCTTCTACAAAGTCAACATCCTGTATGGCTGTCTCATCAGGTAGATGTTTTTTCTGGCATTCTTGGTGCTCTGGTTTTGATTTATACTTTATATGACACTTTGTACTGAATTCATCATCTAGAAATGGACTGTCTTCGATTCTGGTATTTGTTTTACCATGCATTTATGCTTTAGTTTATGAAGCATATTTTAGTGGTTGGAGAATGATAATGGCACTCAACCACATGAAAGCAACGCTATTTGTATATTCCTAAACAATGAATGTGATAGACAACATGAGATAGCATGTGGGAGTTTCTCTTGCACGTGTCAGATTGAAATCATTCTTCTTCTAGGTTTTGGTATTTGCTTCTTTTTGCTGATGCTATCACTCTTGGACCCCTCTTTTAGATGGAAAGATGTTAGTGACTGCAGCTGCACAGTTGAAGACTTTTGATTGTTCTAATCACAAAAAGATACAAAAGTTTACTGGCCATCCTGTGAGTGTTTTCAGTTTATATTGCTTTTGCAATGATGCCTTTATCAATTTAAGTGGCTACATCTACTGAGTCTAGTTGTCTTCCTTCTCTTTCTGCTGTTAGTTAATCAGTTGATTTCTATAACTTCATAGGGATCTGTTCGGTGCATGATATTTACTGAAGATGGAAAGTTTATACTATCATCTGCTCTTGGTGAAAGATATATTGCTTTATGGAGAACAGATGGAGGCAAAAAGCAGTCAGCTAGTTGTGTTTTAGCAATGGAGCACCCTGCAGTCTTCATAGATAGTAGATGCGTTAATGACAGGGATCTCTATGTTTTTGCCATTTCAGAAACTGGTGTTTGTTATTTTTGGTATGGCCAGGATGTTGAGAAATTACGCAATGCCAAGCCTACAAAAGTTTCATTATCTTTGGAAGCCGGTTTCTCTAAAACTTACAAAGGTGCATTACCTACAATATTTGCTGCAAAATTGCAAGGCATTGTCAAGCCAGCATCCATACATGCATTTCTTGCCCAAGGTTTGTTGGTAAAGCCATCATTTCAGAAAATCGTGGTGCATTATGGCACTGATATATTGTTGAGTAGCTCTCAGGATGGAGTCCTTTTACCAATGAGTCAGTCCCTTAACAAATCCAAGAAAGGGCCGGATTCGCAGAATAGAGGTACGTATAATTATAATTCATAACTTTGTTGAAGGACAACCTTATAATAGGGTTCAATAGCTGCTTGTCTTATTTACATTTGTGGAAGTTATACTGCTTTAATGTTGTGAACTCTGTTTTCTCAGACAGCTCCACTAGTCAAAATTTTTGGACTTAAAAGTTTATCAAAATGTTTGTTATTGATTTCTATGATTCAGCAAGTTGAACATTATGGTTATCCTCATCTCTATTTGTTGAAAATGCTAAGATGGTAATGCTCTTATGCCAGCCTGGTTGGTTGCTTTGATGTAGTCTTCAATTCCCATAAAGATTCTCTATTAGCCTTTTATTTTTGTTTATGTTTTCTTCTTTTGTTTTTAATTTCTTGTAGTAGATTACCTACACTCCTTTTTATAGTTTTCTTTGGACAGCAGACTTCTAATTTTAATTTATTATTGCTATTCAATTTGGATTTTATGCCTATGAGGCCATTACTAGGACCGTCATATTTTAAATTTGTGCTATTTGGTACTAATTGCTTATTTTATTATTTAATAGCAATTGCATTGGATCGTGCACATGCTGAGGATGCCATACTTCCAATCCCCAATATTTTTGATCTTCACGGAGAAAAGGAAAGATATAGAAGTTTGAGTGTTGATGCTGACGATGTAATGGTTGATTCCATTGGCCATGGGAATCAAGCTAAGTTATCGGATGGAAAAGGTAGATTTAGCATTCAGATTTGTATGTGTCTTGAGCAAAATCTTTAATTAGTTGTATTAGTTCTTTCAACTGTTTTTAAGGTTAACAGCTCTCTCTATATGTTGAAGAAAACTTATACTATAGGTAATCCTGCAATTCCTTGGTAGTTTGCCTTTGTTAATAGTTAGGCTAAATATGCTTGTGAATGTCCTAAAAATGGTTGCTATTGCAATTGGAGTATACTGGGTTTGCTTTAATCTTGCAAATCTGCCATTAAGGGTGGAAATTTATGCAGCATAGGCAGTTTGGGAGTAGAATATCATCAGTTTTCCCACTGCAAAACAAATTGAAACAAAGGATGGATGGAAGCAATATGAATTTGTCTTGTTAGATTTCTTGGCATTATTTATGCATGTTGCATTTGCAGCTACCTTTTCTTTTTAATATTAGTGCCACCAGTATTTTGATGATACCTCTTGCTTGGTCTTATTCATTTGTTTATATTGGCCTGTGCAGGTGACATGATACAAGTAGATGCTGACTCCAAAGCACTTTGCATGGAGGATCAGCTAAGAACGCTGGGAATACTTGATGATCTTACATCCAACTCTTCACTTGATTCCACGATATTTGATGGTATTAATCTTGAAGCTAATGTCCCACCAAAGAAGGTTTGTTTTCTGTCGACTGAGAACACGAAATCAATGTTTATGATTCCAAATGGTCTCCATTTTTTTGAAGTAAGATTTTATTTTGTATCAGCTAATTTATATATTGTATATCAGATGAGAGCAGTTGTTTCATCTATGGTGCCCGGTGATGCTCACAAGTTGCTGGAAAACTTGGTGGGATTGTGGCAATCAAGGTTTGCTCTTACTCTTTACTTGCATTTTATCTTCTCACATCTTATATGCCAATAAATAATTAAAATCAGTTAATTAGTTGAACACATGGATTGGTAGGCTATCTTCTATATGGAGACAAACTTTATAGAAGTAAATTCCAGTCTATTGATTTAATTGGTATGCTTTATCTGAATTCTAATCGATTGACACTTTAAAATAGCACTTTTAGTATCTCAACTTAAGCTTAATGCATGTATGAAGCTTCATTGTTTGATATGCTAGACAACTAGGGTGAGTTTTTGCGCTATATAGCAAGTTCGTTTCATTTTATTGAACAGTCTTTGACTTCTGCTGGCAAGATAATAGCTATACACATGTTATGCCTAAAAATTCACTCTTTTATTGTCTTCAACAGGTCAAATAGTGGAAAGTATGTTCTTCCTTGGATATATAGTGTATTGGTGAATCACGGTCCTCTTATCATGTCTCAAGAATCCCTAACTCAGATGCTTAATTCCTTATTGAAGGTAAATTTTTTGAAAGAATTTTCTATTTGTTTCTAATGTGCATGCATTTATCTTCATTTAGCTTAAGATTCTGTCGAAGGTGAGATTTATTAGTTGCTGTAATGCCAAAGGAACTTTCTTCCCCTTGTTGGTAACTTAATGTCATAGGTGGTTCGGCAAATGTTATTGAGTGAATTTAGAATCATGCTTCTGGTGTTGATGCTGCCATAGATCCCACTCATTCTGTTGGAAATTTAGCCTTTTGATTTTATCGTAAAGAAAAATCAGATCATTCTAGTAATTGCATTTATGATGATTCGTAATGTCTTTTTTCCAGACTACTAGATCCAGAGGGTTGGCTATTCAGCCTTTGCTACAATTATCTGGACAATTACAGCTTGTAACAGCGCAGGTTGGTAACTTAATGTCATGATTTTTGTTAAATAAATATTTGCTGTCTGTATGTGATTGCATTCCTTATGTCCTCAATGCAGATTGACAAGGCAGCTCAGAACAAAAGTCGACTCTCCACAAGTGATCACCAAATGGATGAAAGTGAAGATGAAGATGAAGATGATGTGGATGAAGTCATTTACAGGGAAGAAGATGATGAATCCCAACTAAGTAGCGATGATGATAATTAACTGCTTTTCATTGCAAGAGGTAATAATAATACCATGTTTTGTTACCTAAGGGTTCTCTTGAGCAGAATCACTTACTTTAGGTTCTTAATAGCTCAAAGCTGTCGAAAAGAAACCAACTTATATTTCGAGTTGTCGGTACTTTGTAGTCTTACCCTACACTACATTTTCTGTACTGCCTGATTTAATTGTTTCATGTCTCATAGATGTCTACTTGTTGGGGGCTTATGACATGTTCCTCTATAAATCGCAGATCAAAAAGTGCAGAGCAGTGCCCGTTTTCAGATGGATTGAAAACAAAGGGGCTTACTCTTAACGTTGGTTGGACAGCTGGCCTTCAACCTTCAACCCCGTATCAGTCTGTTTGAGTTCGGGTTTTTTTCTGGTGCTGCTAATATGGTTACTCCAAGAGGGACGTTTCCATGGTATGGCTGTCCGTGTGTCTGGTCCTGCCATAGCTGTCGTCCACAATTTTGTGCTGCCCATTTTTCCTTGTTTATATTGATCCTGTTCTTTGTTCCTTAAAAATATAGGTTATTATTATCATATTATACTATAATCAGCCCTCATTGTTTCTTAATGCAAATAAATTTGTTCTAGCATCCAAATTTTGTTTTTTTTTTCTTTTTAATGAATCTTTGCATCCTTGTTTTTTGCTGGTTATTTTTCTCACTGATCAATTACAGCTGTTTGAGAATATAATTTATCGAGAACATAATTAAATACATTTGGTATGTAAAAGATTTATGAATGATAAATTTAATTAAATGAGAATATAATTAAATTCAGTGATCGATTATGTTCAGTAAAATTTTCGAACTCCCATAAAGTATGATGAAAAAAAAAGAGTTCATGTTTTTCAAAATTGGATGGTTGGCTGGCAGAGAAGTTTGATTGTGTAGAATTATAGAATATGACATCTTTAGCACGGTCCTTTTACAAGAAATGACCCTGATAGCAAATAATAGCTCTCTCAGAAGTGGATTGCAGAATCGATTCTGCCAGCACTTACAAGCATAGAATCTATACCTCCCTCAACATTTGCAGGTTTTTTGTCCCTTTTTTTCTTGCACATGCTCTTTGGAAAACCATTGCCGCTTCAAGATTCTATGGTTCTTCATAAATTGTTCTTTATTAACTTTATCCCTCTCGGAGGCGAAAGAAGGAGCCCCTTTTCATCTCTTCATCGCTAGAACTATCTACATGATTCTACAAGCGTTGGGATTTTCATCGCTGAACATTGATGTAATATTTCCATTGCCATGGCTGCTGCTACTACTGCTGCTACTGATGTAATTATTGTGATAGTCTTCGTTGTAATGATCAACCCTACTGTAATGCGTGTACCGTGGTGGTGAATGGACATGCTCATATTCCGTTACGTATGGTGATGGCTTGTATGTGTTGTAGCTGTGAGTTACGAAGGCAGGTTGAGGCGGTTCATGGTGGAAAACTTGGCTATTGGGGTGTCTGCTTAGTGGCTCAGGATAGAAATTGCCTTGGTTGTTGGGGTACGGTCTGCTCCAGGGCCCTCCGTAGCTGTGAACATAGCCATATCTATGTCCGTAATCAGGTGGGTGGTGGCATATTACATGAACTTCTCCAACATCTTTTGGTCCAGAAGGTTGGGGTGGCTGCTGGCCGCTGGCATTGGCATCAGTAGCAGTTGCAGGTGCTCGTGCTGGCTCTGGTTGTGGATTCTCTGGTGGGGGTTGGTCTTTTGGTGGCTCCGCAGGTGGGGCCGCTACAGGTTGTGATTGAGGTTGCGGAGCAGCTTCAGCTGGTGGAGCTTCTGATGGGGGAGGATTTGCTGCCTCTGGAGCTGGTGGACCTCCTTCAGGCGGTTGTTCTGTTGGCTGTACAGCAGCTTCAGTTGGTTCTGAATGGGAACAGATCGTTGCAATCTTCCTAGTTTTTCTAATTGCCTTGACTATTCTTTCTGGATCTGCCCAGCCTATTACTGTCAATTTCTGTTGAGCAACATCAGGATAAACTTCACATATACCTGTGGGAAAAACATGAATTAACTAAAAAAATCAGGATTTAAGAAGTTGCTAGATACAGAATGTATGGAACCCTTGATTGCTAATTACCTTGAATACCATGCAGCGCCTTCCTGATCTTCTGTACACAGCCATTGCAGTCCATCCGGACTTGTATCTCGGTGACTCTAGCTTTCTACATTTGATGAGAAAAGGCTGGTTAGTTGAGATCGTTGCAATGTACTAGTTGATGCATGTAGATGCAAAACACTAATAAAACCTTACCTCTAACTCCGGCACCATGAGGCCAAGGAAGAGGGGGAAACGGAGAAACCTGGAGGAGATTATGCTTTTGTATGAGAGATGGAGATGGCGGAGGAGAGAGTATGAACGAAGAATCAATAGGTGAATTTCATTTGTACACGAGGAAGGAATATTTGAAAGGCAAAAGATGTGGGGCATGCAAGGAATCTCTTTTTCTTCCTGGGGTGAGAGGGGGAAGGGGAGTGTTTGCAGCTATGTTAGGCTTCAAGTGGTCATTATCAATTCTTAAAGGGGAAAGAGGAGAAAGGATGTGGGTTCAGGTAAAAGAGTCGGTATGGAACCTTGAAATGTTTGAGCCAAAGGGAATTTGCCTTTAGCAATTGGGATGGCCATCCATAATTGAGTTATGTATGTGCTGTTTAGGATATCCAAAACCGACCATAGAAAAGAATTTAAAGCGTTTGAAGAGATGATGATAGAGATCAGTTGCATTTTCATGGGCTTCATCTAGTCAATCAACACGATTTAAAGTAGCTTTTCTTAGGTGTATGGATATCCACTCTTAAGGAATCCTTTTGTCACAAGTAAAATATCACACTTATAGCAGATAAAAATGACAGGAAAACTATTGTTGTTTAGCAGAAGCCTGCCTGCCTTTCATTGTTGCCATAAAGGCTGATGGCGATTGAATGCCCGGATTCCTCTCTACGAGTCTAGATGTGCCCCCAAGAGCTTTAACTGATAAAGCTTATTTGATGACAAACATTAAATTCACACTTGGACTATCTTAATTAGGTTTTCATTTTGACTAAGGAGGGATTAACCTTGGGTCAAAATCTCTTCATTTTTAAAGTATTTGTGTCTTAACAGGGAATGAGTTGAGTTACTACTAGCAATGTGAATTTGCAGTTTCCCAAGATTTTAAGCTGTCACACAACTAGAGAATCCAGCATAGAATTGCTTGATGCTGTGGGATTTTGATCCCGGCCAGCATTTTAGGACTTTTCCAAAGGATGGAGATGGACCATCTTGACTAACTCTTGACCAGCCAATACCTGCCAAATGTCTGCTTTAGATTTTGCTGCTCAATCATCTAACTAAACCCACCTTGACTGGTTTAGCAGAGAACTTGTTTAAGTAGTACTTCTCTTTCAAAGGGAATAATAAGACATGGCATACTTTCACATTGAATTCTCAAACAGGAAATGAGAAAACCTGATAGAATAACAAAAACCAATCTGATAGAAATTGGAAACAAATATTTTCAAGTGAATGCCTCGGAGTTGTGGGGGGACAGAAATGATTTCAGGTTTAGAAACGACCCAAATTTGGAAACATCATAAAGGTCTAGAATCAAATTGATCAGACAATTTCGAAGTTTTTCTTTGACTATAGGTGGAGGAATGTGTAGCTCCAGTCTAATGTGAGTAATTCTCATATGATTGACGCAGCTGGGAAAGTTAAAGAGGGAGGGGCAAAGGGTGCTTTTGCTTTTAGAGAATTGGAAATACATATTTTAAAAGAGGGATTGTGAAATTGACATGCTATTTGTTTTATGTCAGGCAAATCGTTTTGTGGGAGAATATACAGGCTGGCCAGGGCATGCCCGCATTGCTTTCCTAGTTTGGCTATGCTACCCATGGCATCTAGAGAGGGCCAAATGTGTGAAAATGAAAGGAAGCCACTTTAACAATAAGGTTCTCAGTTATATATTGTTTTCTCATCGATATACACTCATGCCCTCAACCAATTCACATGGTATGAATTAATTCAAATTGTGAAACTGCAAAGCAAAATTAAAAATAGACTGAACACTTGAAAATTTTTAAAATTATGCGTAAATAGAATTAAATTCGATTTATTTTTTCATATTTTATTAGTTTCACAAACTGATAATTTTTTATTGACTGTTATAAAAGAAAGCAAAATCAAATATATTTTCCCCTGGAAAAAAATCAAAGGGGCAAATCAAGACCCAATAGTGTCATGAATAGAGAAGAACAAAGAAGCTAATTGTAAAAGCATATGATAGCATTAAGGAATTAAGCATAAACAGTAGGGTTCTCCAAAAGATAGGCTTCCACAACTTTGTATATCCCCATTGCTTTGTCCTTGCCTGCCTTAATTTCCTCCTCTTTTATCTCAAACTCCCCCAGTGTGTGGTAGTTACTCGTCATCTTACAGGTGCAGCCTCCATCGCTTATGGTTTCGAACTTGACCTCGTATGCAACACATTCAAGTTTATCACCCAGAGCATCTCCCTCGATCATGGTGTACTTGCAGATAAGGTTTTCTTTGTCGAGTTCGTCAATCCGATGCTTAACATACTTGAAATGGGTGGCTGCAATGGACCAAGACTAAATTATAAGAAATTTGGTTTAAGTTTTTGTTATGAGATCAGTAGTTCTTGCATGATACGTGACAAAATTAATTACCTTCAGTGAAGTTGACTTGCTCAATGCTTCCAGCTCCTCCGTCTCCTTGGATTACATCCACACTCTTTATGAACTGGGGGAGGAGTTTGGGGATCAAAGTGTTGGACTCTATGATCAGGGCCCTAAAGATGCGAGCTGCTGCAATTGGGCAAGTGAATTCTTGAGTAAAACTTGTGACACCCATGGTTTAGCAACAAGGTAGAAGATGCAGAAATGGGATAAATTGCTTTGCAGTATATAAACATGGTAGGTTTGCTAACAATCCACTTTCAACATTGTATTTCAAAGCAAGAAAGTGCAAGGTAATTACATTTGATTTCAAAAGACTTCAATCTTTGCGGGCTGAGGAGCATTGAAAGGTATAAGCTTAATGCTTTTAGACAATAGGCGGAAATGCTTGACCAAGGAACACCATCTTGGACTCAAACATGGCCAGCTACTTTTTAAGTAATCCTGGGCATGAAAAACCCCACTGGTTTTCGGCTGATCAGCAGCCACATCATTTCCACACGATACAGCATTCAAAACGTTCTAGCTTTCAGGTTTCTGTACCTACAGAAAATGAAACTAAATTACAGGCTGCAGGGATGCCAAAGGGTTTCATGCAGCAAAACAGGATCTGTTTTTGCTGAAAATGATCTATTTGGATAATCATATTAAAGCAGTGTAATTCATGAATTACATAAACCTGTTTATATACTTTCTTTTATTTTTGAAAATTAAGCATTTCATTCATCAACAAGGGAAGAGCAATTCCCTGTAAGAAAAACAGTTCAGTTCCAAATTTAAATTGCTATCATATTAACTTAAAATCCAGGCATTACAAGAGGATCACACAGCAGAGGTATCCCATCCATACCCAGTACAAAATAACCCTTTCCAACAGAAAACACAAGATGCATGAAGGATCCTAAACAATTCAGCCTGCATATCAAAGTTCCTGATGCTACCAACCCAAACCCGATTAATCATTATCAGCAGAGCACCACTCAACTCGTTTCAGCATCAACCATGAAGCTTATTTTTATTCGTATCCTATGATTTTCATATTTCGTCAGAATATTTGGTTTACATTAGATTTATTGAAGTCATTTGGAATGACTTTAAATTATTTTAAATTTTTATATCAATCAGTTAAACTAATTGATTATCATTTCATTGATTTCAGTGATAAAAATTTTATTAAAAACTTATGATCGAATTAATCAAACAAACCGTTACACATTTCTACATCTCATAACAATCAATATTCTATTGAAATTGGCCAAATTTTGCTTTTTGCCTTACCTACTCGGTTCCATTGTCACACTTACTGGCTATTTATGAAAAGACCCATTACATATAAACTATGGATTATGTTATACAAAAAAAATGTCTCTCCAAAATCACAGAATTTCCTTAATTACACTAAATTAAAAAAAACAATCAAAATTCTGATTTATTGCCAAAATTACAATATATAATTGCATATCTTTAAAGCTTTCCAACAATTAAATTGCACATCTTTTAAGTATAAGCATGAGGATGAGCCATAAGGTATGCTTCTATAACTTCATACATGCCAATAGCTCTATCCTTTCCAAACTCAATATCTTGTTCTTTGATCTCGATACCTTCCTTCGCCTTGTATTCACTAGTCATCTTACAGATACAACCTCCATAGCCATAAGCTTCAAATTTGACCTCGTAACTGATGGACTCGAGTTTGTCTGTCAACGCATCACCTTCGATCAAAGTATGCTTGCACATGAATTTCTCCTTGTCGAGCTCATCAATTCGATGTTTCACATATTTAAAAGGGCTAGCTGCAATATATAAATCAGTGATCAGAACCCAGAATTTTTGAGTATGGCAATCATATCAGAATTGGGCACTAACCTTCAGTGAAATTGATCTGCTTGATGCTACCAGCATCTCCTTCCCCTTCAATGAATTCAATGCTTTTGATAGATGAAAACATGAGCTTGGGGCAGAGGTTGTGAGAGTCAAGGATCAAGGCCTTGAACATCCTGGCAGGAGTCACCTGGGTTCGGAACGTTTGAGTGATCTTAGTAACACCCATTTTTCCCTGTGCTGTGATAAGATTGGGAGAAGAAGAGAAATGGAACAAGATTTTAATGTCAATAAAGGGTTGCTAGACCTGTTTGTCAATGAAAAGTTGGTGGGGGGTTTGGCACGAAGCTTCTGGAAGTCTATATTCAAAGTACGTAACGATTCAGCTTTAGGATTGGTACAAAAGCCTTCACGCTTGTTTGCACTGTTTTATTTTTAATTTTATTAAGAGTTTAAGACACGTTAATCCTGCTGGAATAGACTCAAAAATTGTTGACTAATAAAAGCAAGTCAACAAATTAAAGATAGAGTTATCCAAGTTATTTTTAATATTTTTGATTTTTGTTTATAAAATTTTAATTTTATTATATTCATAATATTTTTATATTGAAATATTAAAGATTAATATTGACGGTTCGTTGACAGATAATTTCGATAATGTAAAAATATATAGAGTATTACAAGATAACGTAAGTTTTATTAAAATAATATTTTTAAAATTAATTTGTATTAATAATATAAATTTGATCGAATTAATTGTTATTAGTTAAATTTATTATTTATTAATTGAAAGTAATTTAATTGAGAAGTGATAAATTCAATAAATAACTCGAATGATAATGATTTGACTGGCAACTTAAAAGCAGGAGTTTAGAGAATCCAATAAAAAAGAGGGACAAGTATAAATGTCCCCCTGCACATTGAAGGATGAAACATTACAAACCAAGCCCACATCTGGAAGATCCTTATTAAGGCAATCATAGCCAGACCCAAAGCTAAAAAGCTGGAGTGCTGTAACAAAAGCAAACATGGAGGAAAAACCCCTTCGATCATCATTTGGAAAAGAAATTTTTATCAGAGTTTAAATTGATTAAGCATAAGCATCAGGGTTCTGAATGAGATAGCCTTCCACAACTTTGTACATAGCCAAGGTCTTTTCCTTGCCAGTCTTAATCTCCTCTTCAGTAAGCACGAAATCACCCTTGGTGTAGTAAGTGCTTGTCATCTTGTTCTTGCTACCCCCATCTGCTGTCGGCTCAAACTTAACATCGTACGTAATTTTCTCCAGTTTGTCCATCAACCCGTCGCCTTCAATCAGACTGTATTTGTATGAACAATTCTTTTCATCGAGCTCTTCGATCCGGTTCCTGATGCACTTAACTTGGCTACCTGCATAGTAGTTATGTTAATATAAGGCCAACAGGACGATAATATTTATTCTGGAAAAAAAATTACTTGGACCCTCTGGGCTTACCTTCAGCAAAGTTGATCTGCCTGATGCTTCCAGCTCCTCCATCACCTTCAGTGATTTCAATGCTCTGAACAGCCAATGGCATAAGCTTTGGGATCAGATTGTGAGAGTCAACAATCAAGGCTTTGAACAGCCTGGCTGGTGGGATTGGGGAAGTGTACTCATCGCTGTAAGTTGTGACACCCATGGCTAGCTCTCTATGGTGGTCGAAGTTGCTCTGAAACTTGTAGTGGTGACACTGGTGAAGGAGGGTCTATTTATAGGTTCAAATCAAACGATGCTTATCCCTGACATTGTTCAAGGTTGAGTTTCCAAGGACCTGGAAATTTATGTTCGTACAAATGCAAAGAACAAAAGTATGGATCTTTCCTGATGGACCCAAAATCAACCTCTAGAGAGTTAGAAAGTTGCTCATGTCTTTATTAGGGACTGAGTATATTCATTGCTACAAATGCCAATTACTAAGTTGCAGAATCAATGATCCAAAACATTTGTACTAAAGACAAATGCAAGAACCTTTTCCACAAACTTAACGAATCCAAAACATTTAATCCTTCACTTTAGGGAGGAACCATTGTCAAACTCCAAAAAGGGTTTACAGCATTTGAAAATTTCGATGGAGATTTGTTTGTCCAACAAGAAAATTTTATGCAAGATTTAACACTGACAAAGTATACTAGTAACAATATGCCCATCGCTTTACCTATTTAGTGGAACATTTCCTGGAGAGGGATTATATACCTATCCTGCTCTCAGGAATCTGATTATATTTCCCACTCTCTTTGGGCAGAACTATGCTTCGATCAACCATCTAACAGGATTGTTGCCTATCGGATTCAAGTTCTTTCATACAAGTTTGAATAATATTTTTAAGCCAGTGCCTTGTTGAATATCATAATAGACGGCAATAATCTGTCCTTTTTCATTTGGAAAGGAAATATACCCCATTCTATTTTCCACTAGCTCAGCACCGGCATATCCCAGAACAATATTTCATCAGAATTTTATTTAATCATGCAAAAACTAGTTCTCATAATGCACAAACAAATAGTATAGTTGTATATTCTTACAATAGATTACGGTTCTCAACATATTAAGGAAAACACCATTTGAATCTTTAAATGGTAACACACTGAAACCCCCCAAAACCATCTAGAAGACTATGCTTCTGAAGTTCGATCTAATGGTTCATGTAAATGTAACACTATCCTCCATTTTATGGCTGTTCACCAGACAACTAAATTCTCCAAGAATTGGAAAAAGAAAAAGAGAAAAAAAGAGCCGCAGGATCCACCTCTACATTGCTGTTGCAGCAAACACAGGATCCTATTGCAAACACTAGAACAAGGTGGCATTTTGCCCAAATGAATCACATGAAGTCATACTCATCCACATCATCATAAGCATTAACAACCAAATCGTCATCTGGTTTATCAACATGGAGCTGTTTTTTCTTGCCACCTGAAAACAAAGTCCAAAAGCAGTTGGAGAATCACAGTATTTACATGTGATTACAAGCATAACATGAAATTAAGAAGCTATCTAATCATAACAAGTTGTTAAAAAATTGAGTCAGCTAAACACAGCTTTTCTTTATATTAAAATTAATTAGGGCTCCACGGACCTTCAAAAATACAGGTGTTGTGCAGTTATGTCTTGCTAAGACCTTTGCAAAAGGCAGTGCGTAATACATCTGAAAGGGTTGAATGGACTTTAAGCTTAGGATTTAATTTAATGGTTACTTCAGTGAGGGGTTGGCCAAAGTGTGATAGATGACCACTTAGAGAATGAAAGATTGGCTCACCATCAAGTGTATATCTGAAACAGCAGTGGACAATAAAGAAGAGAAGATAAGGAACTATGCCTCTTAATCTTCTTCTTCTTCTTTTTGACAAATCTTCTTCTCATTTAATGCCCCAGAACTGTTTCAGATCTCAAATCCAAAGTAAACCAAGGCCATATAGGGAACCTTCAAATGTCTACCTAACCTGTCGGGATGCGTAAAGCAAGCTTAACTGCCTATGGCTAAGGGCTTCAAGTAATAAAGATTTATAGGCTCTACACCTATAACCTTCTAGAATATCTTTTGTGGGCTGGAGAGGGTCATTGCTATCATCTGGAGGAACTTTAACTATATTAGAAGTAGCCCTCCTTTAAATTATGCGGGGAGTGGTAATTATATCTTGCTATAAGCATATATAATTCACTCTTGCTATAAGCATAACGCTCAAGTACATATGTGAGTGCTTAATTATAGTCAATATGCCCGTCCTTAAAAAATAGAGTGGATGCCCTTTTCTTAACACAATTAATTTAAAATTCTCAATTAAGTGAAAAATTGAAGCACCGTAAGTTTCTAGTTTTCTTTTTCCTTTTTTTTTTGACTGAGGTTTATAACATGGGACTCAATAATGAAAAACTGCAAATATTTTACCTGTCTTCTTTTTACTTGTGGCTTCTTTCTCTGCTTTTAGCTTTTCATTTGCAATTGCTGTGATTGAAGATGCAATTTCTTTGGCATCAGCTGCTTTCAAAGATGTCATTGATAGTCTCATCACTGCCTTGAGTAGTCCAATATAATGGTAACTTTTCTGCATCAAAGGATGTATTTGGGTAACGTAAGAACTTTCTAAATCTAGAACCAGGACAGGAAAAGAAAAATAATTAAACGCACCTCATATGGGAGAAGTTTATGAGAAATAAGCTCAGCATATTCTGTAAAGTCACTTTCAGATTTGGGAATAAAATTATCAAGAGTCTTGTCATCATCTTTCTTGGCAAAAAGTTCCGTAGTAGACCTGTAATCAGCTTCTTCCACAAGCCTAATATAGAAAGCAAATGGTCAGAATGTGGTGTCTTATCAACAAAAAACATTGAAGTATTAGAAAAATATCAATTTTGGAGACATATACAAGTAAAACGTGGTGCCTTAACAATTCTGAGATCCAAGCATGTAGATGGGTGGAGAAAAAAATATGGCTTCAGTTAATTTCAAAATGAACCACAAAGAATTAGTTCTAAGAAGAGGTGAGCCAAGTTAAGTTGTAGCAATTTTATTATGCAGTAACACCCACTCTAAGTGACCAAGAAAGTTTAGAAGCAAAAAAAAAATACTAAATTTCTACCTTTGTTGGCGAAGTTTCTCGGCCACGGGATCAAGGGGCTCTTCCTTAGCTACTTCAGCAGTTTTCCCTTTCTTTACAGTCGCTTTTGATTCAGGTTTTTTGGGGGCCTTCTCTTCAGGAGCTTTTACTACAGGTTCCTGATACCAATTAAGGAAACAATGCATTAACACAAGCATATAGTCTTACTTTATTATCAGATATTAACACAAATAACTTGTGTATGATAACATTCTTTGCACAGAATGTCCAAGAAAATAGCTAAGTAACAACTTAAATATGTGATAAGATAGTTTTGCCAAAGAATTTAAAACAACAACGGTTCTTCTATGAAAACACTATTACTCTGTCTATGTCCATGTTAATATTGTTCTTACTTCTTCTCTGTTGGTTTATTCAGTGGGAAAGATACTTAACCATGTTACAGGCGACACTCTAATTAGACTCCAAGCAATTGTTGAGCCAGCAGTCAAAGTGATACAAGTTTAGAAGACAATATAACAGCTCCAGATGACACTCCATCTACCTTTTTCTAGCTCCAAATGGTAAGAATTGAGGGCAGATTTTTGTCATACGAGCCCCATCACTCTAAATCATCCATCAAATAGCTTAACTGATGAATGCAGGATAGTAATGTGCCATGACAAGAAATTCTTATGACATCAAGATGATGTTCATCTTAATACAGTTTGCAACACCATCCCAACAATCCAGAAAAGAAAATTTGATACTACTATTTATACTATTATTTATCCATCTAACAATCCCCTGGGATGCACATATCAAAAGCAAATTCAGGATATTATTTCTTTTAATCTGGAAAGAGGAATAACTTTCAAAATTACACTAAGTGACACATACACCAACACTTGACACTTGTAACCAGATCTTCTAGCTTATTGTTTAGGTGATAAAACTTTCTTAGTGAGATAGCCATTTTCCACATATTTTATTGTATAGATTTTTAAAAGCAGCATAAATATCGATAGTCATTGAAGAGCCCAGACAGTAATAAATTTGTAAACTAAACTACTACCAAGTTAACATAAAATCATCATACCTGAGGAGGTTCATCTTCATCCTCCCATGATTCCTTCACATCATCATCATCAACGTCCTCATCATCCCATTTGCTTTTAGGTTGCTCCTTTGAAAAAGTTGGTGGAACCTCATCCTCTGCAACAATTTCACGCGTCTTCATGAGAGATGACAAAAAATGAAAAGCGGACAAATAGCAGATTGAAAATAAAGGACACTATGTGATAGGTTCTTCAATTAAGGATCTAAAATCCAAATACAGACCAAAGTTCCAATGCTTGTTCACAACTTAAAAACAGATGAAAGATAAAGGGAATTGAAGCTCCTTTAAGGTAATGTGAGCCTCTTCTTTACACTTTAAACCTCCTAAACAAGACTATGGGGATACCGTCAGGCAATGGCTCAAGCTGAATTTGAGCATGAGCACATACGGATTCCTGCAACCGAAGCCCAGTCTAGCTTCCCAGCATGTTTTGCCAAAACCACCATTCTTTACACCACAAGTAGGGTAGAAAACCCACTAAATTTCTCCATAATCTACTCCTCTTCAAATGGCAACACCATAACTGATTTCGCACTAAACCCTTACTGAAAGTAGTCAGCTTGTGAAACATCCAAACCCCATAAAAACGGAAGCAAAAAAAAAACCAATAATAATCCCAACTTTCAATTAACCCAATTAATTTTAAGCTCTTATTAAAAACAAAGCCTGCAAATGCAAGTTTATACACAACAAAACAGATTTAAAAAAAAAACAAATATCACTTATCAATCCGACCCCAACCAAAACAACAAATAAGTAATCAAATTTTTATCGAACAACATTACCCCAGTCCTCCATCTAGTTTTCAACTTATCGAAATCCCACGAATCGAAGAACAATCCTGAACACCCCCAAAATTGAAACAAGCAAACAAAAGTCATTCCTTTAGATTAAAAAATTTAAGAAAAAATTAAAAAAATAAAAGAAAAATTAACTAGAAACCCATGAAGAAATCACTTGCCTTGAGAATAATTAAGGTTTAGGGTTTGCTGTTAATCTCAGCTCGGGGTTTCTTCCTTTATTGCTCAGTTCAGACGCCAAAGCACCAACTTACGGGAGATGAAAAATTTTAGGGTTTTTATACTTTAATTGTAATGTCCACGTCTTTTCCTTTGTTTAGTAGTACTGGACTAGAACTCCAACTAGATTCTTGGGCCTTCAAGTGGCCCGTTCGGATATAAATGTGAATTTACCTAAATACCCTAATCAAGACTTTTTATTTTGCTTTGTTGACGCGATAATGGTGTGTTTCTTTGTCTTTTCCTTTCATTTTTCCTTCTTTTAAATAATAGAAAGGGTGGCAAGTCCATCTGAATAAACAAGGATAATAAAAACAGGGTTTAAGATATTTTATAACCGGATTCTCAGATAATAGAACAGTTATAGGTTCGAGTAAGAGTCCAGTTATGATCATAGAAAATTTATTATTTAATTTCAAATAATAATTTTTAATATTAAATTTTAAATTTCATAATTTTTTGAGACATTTTTTATACAATTTTTATTACCATTTAAAATTTGAAGTATAATTCTCAAACAAAGTGATCAGTCAACAATCAATATCTCAACTTTGACTCAACCACCATTTTTCTGTTGTTGGATTGAAATAAAATTCAATTGACTTGGCAATTCTATTATATATTGGATTAATTGATACATGATAGTGATTAAAAACCCTTTACTCTATTTATCCCATAGAAATTTTGGATTTAGTAATAGGATGCCTTGAATATCTCAAACTTTACTGATACCTTCATCACAACATAATTTCCTGGATATACAACACCTTTATTTAGCAGTACAATTGATGACTTTTGAGCATCAATGGGTACAAAACAAGTTGCTTACTAATCACAAAGTGTGAACTCTTATTCCCAATCCAACATTTGCCTGGAAGAAAAGGAAAAAAAAAATCAAATCTCTCACAAGCACACATGCATTCCACAAATTTATATGATCAATCTCGTTTTGTTTTACTCTCTCTAGGCGTCAGGATTTGCCAGGAGATAGGCTTCAATAGCCTTGAATAGACCCAAGGCCTTTTCTTTCCCGGACTTGATTTCCTCTTCCTTGATCTCGAAGTCACCAATGGTGTAATACTTGCTGGTGCTCTTGCAGATG